TATGCACACATGCATGTGCATATATTATAGAATGCACTTAGTGTGCATTAATTTTAAGGGATTTTTTGGTAAAAATATGGCGTTATTGTGAAAAAATGGTTACAAATTGATCATTCAAAATATCGTCCATTGCCACTACTTTTTTCCATCTTTCTAGTAATATGTGGATTCCACGTCGAAAGAACGACACATCTTTTGAGGTTATCCTCAAAATCGACTGTTTGACAATTGTTGGTAGCATTGCCCAGTGATGATTTCGTTGGATTGGAGCAGCTCATAATACACTACACCCAACTGATCCCAAATAGTAAATACAGACCATGAGCTTGGCGCCATATTCTTTGTTAATGGTTCGCCTGGCCTGCACCATGATTTTTTGCGCTTTGGATTATTGTAGCGTATCCAATTTCTTTTTTTTGTATCTTTGAAGCAACAATTAACAGGTCATTTTGCGCCTTTCGATGTCCCATGGCTTCAACTCGTATGACCTAATTTCCTTGCTTTTGAATTATTCCAATGGCCTTTAAGGCCCGATTTTTCATTATCTGGTTAACTTGTGATTAAGCTTAACCTGATGTTTCACCCAATGAGCTTTATCCATGACATCACCATAGATGAAGCTCATTGGATAAAACATCAGGTTAAGTTTAACCACAAGTTAACCAGATAATGAAAAATCGAGCCTAAACGTCTGGAAATCGTTGCTCGATCAACATTTAATGATTCTGCAAGTTCTTCTTGCGTTTGACTCGGGTCTTCATCGAGTAAAGCTTCCACTCTGTCATCTTCAAACTTTTTCGGCTGATCTGGACGTTCCTTGTCTTCCGTGTCAAAAGGCTTGTTCTTTTTGCCTGCACTGTCTAAATTGATGCATACAGTACAATAAGTTGAAATGAAACAAATGTATATCTGTTTCACTTCACTTATAGTATTGCACTCTGTGCACCAGTTCAGTAAAAAGAACAAACCTAAAATTAACCTCTTTTATAGCGTCGAAACCAGTATTCATATTGAAATCGATGGAGTGTAATCACCATAAACTTCCGACAACATTCGTTGACTTTCAGCAACACTTTTCTTCAAATAGAAGCAAAAAAGCAATGCTTCCCGCAAATTGCGTTTTGTTAGTACAAAATTCGACATATTCAATGCTCAAAAAATCAATATTGTTTACACTTAGGCAAAATGATACATACTGAAAAGCTACATGATGGTGCTTTGACATGAAGGTAGCAACAATATGGTCCGATGCGATAGTACTAGTTACACCATCTCTTAAAAATCCTTTAAAATTAATGCGCATCCTAATATATTCCTTTATCTCTTATTGTGAATATCGCGTAATCCAAGAACTTCATTTATATATGATTGTTTATCCAGGGCTGTGTTCGGAAAGTACGCTGTTAACGCTAGTCTAGAATGAGAGAGAGAGATAGGGAGGGAGGGAGAGAGGGAGGGAGGGAGAGAGGGACAACAGCGTCGATAGCGCGATTCCCGAACACAATTATTTTAGAATTTTATATGCGCATATCGACATTATGCCCATGTTGTATGTACTACGTATTAGAGATTGAGGATTGTAAACTGAGGATTAGAATTCAACTAATTTTAAAACGAAACGGATTAAAATTAAAATTATTTATAGTTGATAAAACTCCAATCTTTTATTTGTAATCCTTAATTTTTAATGCATAAGTATAATACGGGCATTATGAATTTTAAAGGTCTTAAGCCCTTGTCATACTACACATTGAAGACTGAGGATTGTGAATTAGAGATCAAAATTCGACGAGTCAGATAATTTTAATTTCGATTTGTTTCGTTTTGATTGGTTAAATTCTAATCTTCAATTCTCAAGCGTCAATTCCCAATGCGTAATATGACACGAGTTTCATATTAATACGTATATATATTTATACGCTTAATAGTACATTTACGCAAATCTAAGTTACATATTTGGAATTATTATCTATTTAAAACTTGCGAGTAGATACATATTGGTCGTTTTGAGCATAAAAATTTGTACTGCAGAAATTCAAAGTTGAAAGAGATAATGGTTCTTCAAATAGTACATGAAAAGGATCGTTTTACTCAAGTATTTACAAATTCTAGTATAAATTTATATTGGCGATATATTGATTAAATATTGGATATAATATTGAGCCAATATTAAGCTAATATTTGCGTCGTATTGTGCAAATAATTATGTAGGAAATTAATTGCTAGAGTATCAAAACTTTTTTGAGTCATCATGTTTGCGTTTTCTAGGTAATTATTTTTATAATTTAACAAAATTATTTTCAGATCTGTATCTACCTAGATTCTTTTTTATTTTTCAGCAAAATCGTTCTTTCCACGTAGAAATTATATTCTTGCAATTAATGTGGGAAAAGAGAGGACAGTTTCGCTGAAGTATCTAAAAAATTAACTAGATACAGATCTAAAAATAATTCTGTTGAATCATCCAAATAATTATGTAAGAACCTGGTTGCTAGAATCTCTTTTTGCAGCACTATACTCCACACACTTGGGTTTCCTACAATTACTTTTATAGTTCAACAAAGTTATTTTCACATTTGTATCTAGCTAAAGTTTTCAATACGCGACAAAACTGTTCTTTTCGAATACAATTGAAGAAACGTTATCTCTTCATGCGGGAAGTGTCACGACCAACGGAGGAATGACGTCGAATGATTTTTAGCAAGATCGTTTTTTTTTCGCGTAGCTAGCATGCCCTCTCTCCCTTGTTTTTCGCTCGTGCGTCATTAATCCTACTCGCGAAGATGTAAATACTTCCGCGCAGATTAAAATGCGCGCACCGCGTGCGCGACGCGTGCCAATTTTCCGCGCTTTGCCGTGAGCCTGCCGATGACGACAATATGTGATGAAGACGACGACGACGACGGCAATGACTGTGACACGCATTCGCAACGTGACGATAACATTTTTTTTCTAGATGTATTTGCATCACAGCTTTCGGCTAAACGCGCTTAGCATCGAGACGCGAATAACTCACCGTAAATCTTTTTCCGGACTCAACCGCGAAAAACGTCGATCGAATCCTTTGATAGTCACTCCAATTTTCACGTCACTATTTATATAGTACTCATTTAGGAAGAGAGTCATTTTTTCTATCTTAGGCTGGGTCCACAACCTCGCTTTAAGAGGCCCTAAGCCGTAAAGCCGTAAGAAATTAACCAGTAGATTATTTTTTTTGCATTCAACTATGATTGGTCAATTTCTTGTCGTTTTACGGCTTAGCGTTTCTTAAAGCGAGGTTGTAAACCCAGTTTTAATTATCGATAATTCCAAGATCTTCGAAGTCTACACGAAGAATCGGTTTTATCCATATTGAGGTGTTAATCCTTAATTGATGAGACTCTTACACGTCGTGATCTTTCCGAAGCAATTTATCGATAAGACACTGTTCGCTTATCTAAGTTCAATGGAAAAAGTGAATGTTATCTTATCTTATGTAAAGAACATCGAACAATCGGTAGTAATTTAGAAACAAAGTTGTTTGCATGCCAAACGGAAAAATACTTATGCATGGAAAACACAATTTTGCTAAAATATTCGAAAATTTAGCTAAATACAAATCTAAAAATAATTTTGCTGGATCATCAGAATAATTATGTAAGATGGTTATCAAGTCATTTTTTCCAACATTGTTCATTACCTATATTTAAGCGTCCTAAATACTTTCTAAAATTTTTAGAGTGAAATCTCATTCTAAATTGTTTCAGTTTTCGTTGAAGAACAAAAATTGAGCTATCCTGAAAAAGAGTGACTCAATTTAAGAGATTTCACTCTTTAGAGAGTTTTACAGAATAACTATTTTGGTGGTCCGAAGCAAAATTATTTCTAGGCCTATATCTCTCTAGCTAAATTTTCGGATACTTCAGCAAAATCGCTCTTTCTATAATTGTTCATGATAAACTCGCTTCATCAGTTTCATCTCGAAAATAGCGCCCTTATATGGAAAAAAATATAATTAATTCTGATGAAAAATTAACACGCAATCCAGAATTTTAGGTAATTAAATTTCTTAGAATTCTAGCAGATTTAACTAAGGATATTCTGAATGTTGGTTATCTCAACTAGAATTCTATAGTAGATTCTAATCAGAATTCTGGATCGTTTATTTTTCACCAGAATTCCAATTAATATATTCCAGTTAATTCAACTAAACATATTTTTCTCCGTGTGTCAAGTACAAATTAGAGACCCGATAACAGTCCGACTACAAAATGACAAATTTTGGATTGGCCTGTTTTTGTCAACTTCAATAAGTTAAAATGAGATAGTATAGGAACGTCTGTTTATAACGTTTATCTTTATTTTTATATTTTAAATTAAATGATATTATTTTGGTTCGTATAGTCCTTCTAATTTATTTAAAATTTTATTCTTATTGAGCCACATTATTATTATTATTTTATGTTTTATAAAAGAAGATAATATATATGACCTTCTTTTTCACTCTTACTTCGACAAAATTGCTCGTAGCTATAGCTACGAAAAAGAAAATAGATTCTATGACGGATTCTCTATTAAAAATTAAATTGTTCATAATAAAACAAATTATTGACAATCGCCACGAAAAAATCGCGAGACAACAGAGATGTCGCGTATAACGAGAGAATAAGGCCAGTTTATTCGCGAGATGAACGTGACCATGATCGATTAGCGGATTCGCGGTCAACGATTGATCATGCATTCAGGAGTGCGTTTCGGACGGTCGTCACGTGGTCGTGGCCGAAATCGTCGCTGTCGAAGATCCGGTCTCGAAGTAGCAGAGAATATCGCGGATCGGACCCGATATCTCGCGCGCTCTCGAAACGGGACGCGGGGTGTTAGCCCGGTGCGGGGTGTTTACATATAGCATCCGACGGTGGTGGTGGTGGTGGTGGTCACCACGGCATCTCGGTCGCAGAGAGAACGTTGTTTGATCGCGCGCAATGACGACGGTAGCGGCGATCGAGAGGGCGGCCGGTCGCGCGCGGGTGGTGGTTGAAAGGTCGCGGCCTCCGTCATTGATATGGTTACAGGGAGCGCACTTTGGACCAAACGACTGTGCCGACTTAAGAGGAATAAAGCGCGACGGCGTTAGTTGACTTCAGTTTAGTGTCATCCTGGCTGCGTAACGCGACGCATCGCGCAACCCGACCGACCCGCACTTGTCTTTTTTTTTTTTTCATATTTCTCCCCCCCTTCACTTCTCGCTTTCTCTCTCTCTCCTTCCGCGATCTGTAAACCGGCGAGAAATAAAACGCCGGTAAATCATGGACCCCGGCCAAGAGCGACAGTAAACCGCGAAATAGATTTTCGCGCACGAGATAATCGGACAAGGGACTCAGGCGCACGCGAGCTTATTTCTCTCAGATAGAGAGGGAGAGAGAGAGAGAGAGAATAAAAGAACCGCATCTTTTCACCGAGTCGCGCTGAACGCACGTGACTCTTGACGTTTCGCGTGGACAAGGACGACCGTGTCGAGAAACCACGGCCACCAGACGTTCCACCACGCGCTTTCCACCTTCACGTTTCCGCGTGAGCCCGTCGCGATACTATACTGACACCACCATGTGGTCCATAGAACCGGCCAGCTTCACCTCCAACGGGAGCATGATCGTCGTGAGCAACAGGTTGCCATTTGTGTTGAAGAGGAACGAACTGACCGGTCAGCTGGAGCGCAAAGCCAGGTGAGTCGTGTCCACCTTCTTCTCCCCTCTCTAAATTCTTTGGAATAGAATCTTACTTTGAAGAAAATTGAGCCGTTACTTTTTCAAGTCCCGCTCGATTTTTAATCTTTAAGGATAAGATTTCACTCTTCAAATTCATTTTCTAAAGGGAGTTTTAGAGAGTCTGATAGGTGCGATCGAACTCTATGTTTTGAAGCATTTGATTGGCCAATCGCAGGAAAGAATTTTACTAATTGAATCAAAGAACACTTCGAAGTATTTGTAGCATTATTGTTGACCTGTTTTTCTAGCGAAAGAAGGAGATGCTATTATATAATAGAATTTAACTTGACGCCGATTATTGATACCAAACCTTTTATACAAATGATACATGTCATTAGAATTAATTAAGTAATAAGGATAGTATCTCTTAGGTTTTTAAAGATTTAGAATTTATTGACTTGGCGTACAAATGATACATGTCATTAGATTTAAGGAAATAATAAGGTAAAAATAACGATAATTCCCTTCTCTCTTCTTCTTCAGTAATACCCAACAGTTCCTAACTTTACGTCTGATTTGACTAAGACTATATAATATTCGCGAGACCAAAGATATAGAGAAATAGGATGCGAAGAGAGAGAGAGAGAGAGAGAGACGGCCAGTCTTTATCTTTTTCTATCCAGCGCTGTAATGAGAGCGAAATTGACGGTCTTCGCGCTTCCTCTCTCATTTTTGCTAACCACATTTGATACACTCTTTACATACGAATGCAGTCCATGCTCTGTGTCTTTGCGCGAGACCACGTGCAAGTCGAATGACAGTCGCGAGAAGAGAGAGGACTCGGCTGTCACTCCATATTCATGTTTGTCGCGAGTGTTTGCGCCTTGAACGGCGTGATTGCATTGACTTACGCGATCGCACATAAATCAGTTCTTTAAAAAAATCTCATTTCTTACATTTTAATTGACTCTTAGTACACACGATACGATCAATCGTGTTCTGCAGATTTTTCTTCTATGAAGAACTAGGAATATTAAGTAATTAGTTGTAACATTTATACATGATACAATTTTTAAATACACAATCTTACAAATACTTTCTAAAGATGTTAAAGTATATTATACATAAGGAATACGTTTTTTTATATTTATTAAAGCGATGAATATTAATCCCGGACACGGAATCCATCGTGTGTAGTAAAGGACGGGAAAATTATCGTTTGTACTGAAAGAATTAATAATAAATTAAATGACGGAAATTTCGCGACGTTGCTCATGCAAATCGCATGTAACATTCGCTGGTTTAAACTACGAAGTTCTGTTTTTATATGTCTATTTTTATACAATGAGAGACGATATGTATATCCGATACATATCTCACGCATTTGCGTATATATCGTATTTTCTTTTGTGATAACCAGATGGACCGTACTATTGTTGTAGTTATTACTCGAGCGATTCTTCATAGCAATGTGTTTTGAGATCGTAGTGTCATTTGGAATATTCAAACTTGTCGACATTCATGTCACTTTGCATCTTGCTTTATATATTTAACTGAAAAACCGTAGCTTGAGATAACGAATACGACAAATTACTTGCGATTATGTGTCGTCTTTGGAGTTACATCATTCGCCGCTGTCGTTATCTTTACATAAGATACAGTCAAACTACAGGATGTTCCTATAGCATAACAATGATTGTATCTTACGGTATAAACCGCGACTTGTTCTCTCGACTGCATTTGATCCTTTCGAAGTAAAGATAACGTAATGCGATTAGCAAGATGGAGTTTATTAAAAAGAGTTTAATGCTTGTTTTTCCAATAATATAAATTAGCTTTAACCTCGATTCAACTTACTCTTTCTTTCTTTATTTTCTTCTACCTCTAAAAATTAATCTATAACGTTAGGAAAAACGGACCGTAACAACAAATTTTTTTGAATATTTTGAATCAGTTTGATTTTGAAATTTATTTTTTTATTACGACACGTAGAGAGAGAGGGAGAATTATTGTGAAAACATTTATAATTATGAAAATAATACTGTATTTATTATTATCTGGAATAAGATCTCTTAGTAACGCTACGTGAAAATTATAAGGAGAACGTCTCCAAGTGCAAGTTTAACTTCGAACGAGATGGAAGGAGATATATTATGTGACGAACGTGCATATGTCATAAACAAAAAGAGCGATTATTTCAATAAAAGGCGCGTCGTATCAGAAAATAAACGGCGAATATATATAGATAATCAACAGATACAGCATCGGTGATGTAATCGGAGTGACAAAATGCGAGAATAACAAAGCTCAACTTAAAACTTTCATGTTTGGAGAGTGATAGTCTTTCCCACCTCGACTTCCTATTTGGCAAATATGTTGACGACTTGATCTTGTACGCGACGTCGTTTATATGCTGTATCCATGACATGCAGCAGTGATCGAGAAAATTCGATGCGTGCAGCAAAATCTGACCGAAGAATCGTCTGGTAACGCCAGACGATTAATTGAATTCTATAGCCGTATCGTCATCTCAGTAAAGAAGAGACGTCCAAATTAATAAGAGAAGAAGATTAATTAAATCGATAAGAGAAGATCGACTTTGCGAGCGAGCATGTACGAGGCATTTTTCTTAATCACATTCAAAATAACTTTTTTCGACGAGTGTAATCTAATCGCGAACACATAAATGGTAACACTCTTACAAAATGTCACGCGAGATTTGTATATTTCGAATCGGGGTAGATTAATGCGAATTTTTAAGGTGACCTACGGTCATTAATACTATCAGTATTAATAAATATCGACAATATTATTGATCGCGTGTGGACACTGAAATAGATACTTTTGTTGAAGGATCTCTAAAATTAAGGAAAAACTCTATAAATTTGAAAATAATTTTGCAGGAATCAGCATGATAAGCAATGCTGCAAAATGTGTTTGGATATTCTAGCAGCCAATTTTGTCGTCCTACTTAATTGTTTTGATGGTCCAGCAAAATTATTTTTCCGATCTATATATATCTAATCAAATCATTAGTCTATACATTATAAATTAAGATACATCTTAATTTATAATGTATAGACTAATGTTTTATAATAAACGTCGATAAACAAATCTAGCGTGTGGCTGTAGCTCTATTTTTACAAACATTAATCTTTTTATATATAAGCCACTTGTAAATTATATTAATTTTCTAATCAAATCTTTGGATTCTTCAGCAAAACTGCTTTTTCAGTGTAAATACTGACTGCGATCTGGATTTTAATTCTCGAGCATGAGCGCCGCTTTATTAAGATTTAAGTCACAGTACAACAAATATTGTACGTAAAACTAGAGTGTAATAAGTATATTGTCAATAATAGATACTGATTGTGTAAAGTTATATAAAAATATTAAAAATATTGATGCATATTGTATTACTGATTTAATATTACTGATCAGTAAAGGAGATCGAGGTTTATGTTTGCACAATTTTATTGGCATAGATTTTTTAAACCATAATTATTATGATTACAATATACTAATACGATAAAGATCTCTACGTTTTCATACCCGTAATGGTTCTATACACTGTATAGTTTCTTTGCAATATATAAATGAAATACGAACATGCTATATATATTGCAGTCAACTTGTTTCGATATATAAAGTAAATTGGTACATATGCCGATGTAAATTGCTTCTATAAAAAACTGTATATTAAATTAATAAAAACGTAATAGAAAAGTAATAGAAATAAAAATCAATAGTGAAATATGTATTTCTTAATAAAAATGGTATCTTTTAAAGTTATTTTGTAATGATCAAATAGTAAAATATCAAGAAAAAATAATATTTTTGTTTTTCCTTATTTTAATATAGAAGTATTAAATATAAAGCGTTTTGTCAGAGAGAGATAAGTCGTAATTGATGTGCGGTACAATAAATCTAATCTTTTTTTATGTACAAGTCAATACCTCATCTCCCTGCACACGTCTGATTTTTATCATTTTATTACAACAAATTCTATTGTAACTAAAAATAACGTATCTAACAGACACTTTTTTTTAAACTAATAAAAATTAAACTTTGCTTTCTCAAACCGAAGGACATCAATACGATATTATAAAATGATCAAAAATTTACTTCTTCTTGAATCAGGTTTTTCTGTTTTTTTTATTTATTTTTACTTGTTGATTGAAATGAAACTTAGGGGAAAGTATCTATATAAAAGAAATATTTCGCAGTAACTTTTCCATTATTTCTTTCGTTATAAATATATTAACGGAACGCAGTGCCAACGAGACGATTCTAAAAATGACCCTACACAATCAATAATAGAGGAGACCCGAAGGTCTATTCTGTAACTCTTAATGCAAGTTTTGTTTTCGTTATAAAGCCGCTGCATAGTTCTTTTTATTATGGTATGGTAAAAAAAGCTGCATAACGAAACTTGCGTTAAGAGTTATAGAATATACCTTCAGGTCTGCTTTATTATTGATCGTGTAAGATCATTTTTAAGATCATCTCAATTGGCGAATATCAAACTTATATATCCATATATTATATCATCGTTACGTATCAATCCAATGACAAAATATGTCTTTGCTTATCATTGTATCACAATTTTAATAATGTTGACGATGCAACACACTGTCTACATTGTTGCATAATGATGATATAATTTGCAGATACGCAAGAACTTAGACAACAACGAAAAGTATCTAAAATCAGGTTACAAGACGTATTTTTACGCTTAAAAGACGACTTAAAGATTTTATGTCACAATTTTAGACTTTATGTCGTATGGAAAATTTGTATCCGCCTTTTTACACTCGCGAAGTTTATGTTCCAAAACTGATACAGCAGATAAAAAATTGCACGATGAAAATGCAAACTGTGCAAAAGAAGGATTGTTTTTCATAAGCAACTTTCGATTTTTATTTTTCCTATTATATTCAATTAAATAATATATTTTTTATCGTAAAAAAGTTTCCAGTGCTTTATCGTTAGATATCGAAGGACCAATGGTAACCTAACACGCTAACGTAATAACATTTTAACTTTCATATATGCATACATAAATCTATTTCCCTAATTAGTTTCAAGATAAACATCGACCATATTACGTATGCATTTTGTGAACACAATAAATTAAATTTTTTAGTCGAATTTAATAAATTTCTTGAATTAAATTTTTCAAATTTTAGATATAAGTGCAAATAGTGGAAACTTATAAAAATGATTAACTAATTGGGTATCATTCTTTTGACATTACAAATTTAATAGTGTTCTAAATATATCGTAAATACGAGCACGTATAATTTCATTCTACAGATAACATTTATCACATTAATTAGCGATTCCAAGTTGCGTGTATAATAATTTCTCATATATAAATTTCAGTTTTTTTTTTTTTAATTTAAAGAAAATCAACATTTTTGTATGCTCGACTATCTCGCGAATGACCATCGGTATTATTTCTAATGATAATGTCCTTCAGGACGATTACATAATTATGTTTGAACAATTGATTTTTACAAAGCGGTAATAAAGTATTCTTGGCCAAGAACGAAAGATAAATTAGGCTAACGAAGCGCGGTATGTACATCGCTTGTACCACCGTCGCCAAAGCAATTACCACGAATTTTTCAAAGTCACCTGTGTCGTACTCGTCGCACGTATTTATCGCGTATCTGCCGGTTCCCATCGGCGTATTTTATGCTCTTAAACTGCCACACGAGATCTCACAGCAGCTCGCGATCGAGCTATGTATTCGCGTACAAAAGACTCACACCGGATCGTGGAAAAACACTGACGTGAGAGTGCAGCGGTTTCCGATTATCGTTGCGAAGCGATAATACGAACCGGTCAATTTTCGAGATGGGACGTATCAATGCGCTTGATTATGCCGAGTCTGTTTATTGCACTATTTATTGATATGTCGAATCGTTCGGTTCGGTTTATGTAAATTTATCCTCTTTTTTTTTTTGCTACATCGTTCGATATTATTACATCAAATCAATATAATGTTGCTAAAATATCAAAATTTGTTGCAATATTGCTTCTCATACTTAAAGTTTTAACGTAATTATATTGATAAATATGAAAACGATGCCGCAAGTGGAATTCACCAGCATGAGGTTTTCGAAATATTTAAGATTTAAAATGACTCTTTTTGCGATACCTATTATTATTTTTTTAAATATTAACAATAATAGTATCCTGAAATTCTGATTAGAAGTTATTAATATTATTGAATATATTGTTTATTCCCTAAAATTTTTCGCTAAATTCCCTAAAGTTTTTTCCGTCTCTATCTTTTTAACCATAATATGAAAAGTACAAATTTTTGTGATTTTTATACGTTTATAGCTTTTTATGCGTACAACTAAGCGTAAAATATTGCAAATAAACATTTTTTTGTACATTATTTGGTTTGCTTTGTTTTTCCAGCATCCAAAAATTTATAAAAAGCACTTGATTCAAGGTAATTAAAGAAAAAAAGAAACATTTTCTGGTAAACTAATATTATTTTCAGATCTGTATCTATAATTAAATTTCTTATAAATACTTCAGGAAAATCGTTTTTTTCCATGTAGGTAAAGATCAATCAGGGAGATGATCATAAGGCACAGCGTAGTTCACGTGGGGGATCTATACTATCTCCTTTCATCTACGTATTCTTTGATCAATTTGATGCCAACCTTTTCGTCGGGGAGGAAAAATAAATCGTGCGCGCACGATGCAACAAAGTTTGCTTGAAAGTATAGACGTGCGTTAACTAATTAGTGAATTGTATCGCGTGCAAAAGAAGCGCGATAGGTACCTACGCAATGATCAAAGTGCGTTTTCTGGAAATTCATGCGTTTACATACTTTCGACAAGTTGAGAGCTCTCTTTGGCTGCTTACGAACAAGGAGAGCACAATCGACGATACGTTACGTAAACAAGTTGGTCATTATACTCAATGTCGCGCTTGAACGTGTTCGCTAATGTATAATTAATTACGACAATCGCGTCCTATACTGACAAAACCGCGACGGTCAATTAATATTACACGTAATATTACATGTAATATTACAATCGCGTCTCAAATATACTTTTACGCGAGAAATTGTTTCTTTCATTTACGATTAAAATACAAGCGAAATTAATAAAAATACGTACATCATAAAATGACGAAAATGTAGACATACATCCTTTAACATCGATTCGCACAAGATTCTTTTCCGCTGTCTTACATTCGAAATAAAATTGTTCTGGAACGACAACACTATCGACTTTTCATTGAAGAGTCGAGACATTCTATAGTGATTTGATGCCAATATCAGATTATAGTCGGTTCTTATTTCAAAACCGTTTCAAGTAATATCTTAAGATGCTAATACGATTCTATGATTAATATCTTACAATTAGTGTAAAATCATCGTATGAAGTATAAGACTATTGTCTAAATTCTATGGAGAATTATAAGGTAATATATTCTCGTAAGATTTATATATAAAAATTTTTTAGTACTTATACCTTCATATATTATACACAATATCTTTACAGACAGCTTATTTTTTAATGCCATAAGATTGATTAGAAATTGTAGATATATTTACAAATAATAATTTACAACCCATTTAAGACGATCTTAAATATAAGAACCGACTATGAATATCGGCCTTAAACTTTGTTTCTTACAATTAAACATTTATATTCTATTTTTCCCATTTTTGCATTCTGTGATGATAACAAACAATATCAAATTTTCCATTTTTAACATTTTTACGTTTTTTAAATATTTATTCTGTATATTTAATGTAAGCACACACGATAAATTGAAGACAATTCAAATAGGAAGCAGTCAAAATTCAAAAATATGCTTAATGTGATTATTTTCCGTTTTTTTAAATATAATATGTCAACAGTTAAATTAAATCAGGATCGAACTCTTCGTCGTTTTAAAGCTCATATGTAGGCATTACTGTTAATGTTAACGATCTAGTAGTATCGAAACTTTTGTAATGCTTTTCAAAATATTGTTATGTTTGATATAATTAGATTTTTTAATAGGAGAAAGAGTTATTTTATGTAAACAAATAATTTTAATAATTTTATAATAAAATATTTAATTCTTTCAGAATTGTAATAATTTTTTAAAATTATTATTTTTAAATTATAGCTTCTTTTTATGGAATTATTCTACAATAACAATTTATTTAAATAAAATGAAAAAATATCCTACATACTTCCTCTATTTCTAATTCTACCGTAAAATTTTATAAAAATTATTTTGAAAGAAAGCATGTTCTTTTAAATCTGAAACTACTTGTCTTTGTTTATTTTTACTCATCTGTATCTCTTTCGTGACTTTCTTTTTACAGCGCCGGTGGTCTGGTAACTGCAGTAGCGCCTGTTGTTATAAACGGAAATGGAGTTTGGGTCGGATGGCCGGGTATGCATATGGAAAATCCGAACGAACCAATTCCCGAATCAGATCCGAACGATCGCACGCCGACGGCTGGTCTACTATCGCGCAAGGTGAGCTATTAACGCGCGCGCGACGATAACAATCGCAACGTGTTGATATTTTGTTGCAACCTCAATTTGCAGCGCTTTACGTAACCGTGATTTGTAACCATGATCTTGTATTTCTTTTTACGTACGATATCGTTCATACGTAGAAAAAGAACGAAAAAAGCAGTTATCATTTAATCCGCGAATTGTTAGAAATTACTTCGACTCTTTTGTGTGCACATTTTTCGATACAATAGCCGGTTAAATTGTTAGAAACATTATAGATTTGTTATACTGTCGCATATTACTTAACGAATTATCTTACTATCGTGAAAACGGTAGAATTAGTTTTACATTGTAAATGTCAGTGATTGTTACTGATTGTGCGTCACAATGTGCAGACAATCGCAACTCACATATTTATTTATATCAAGTGATTTTGGCCTTCTAAATTGACATTTTTCGAGATGGATATACGTTTCCAAAAATTTTGAATTTATGTAAATTTATGCTAATTAAAAAATACTAATTAATTTCAAGAAATTGTACTAAAAAAAAAAGAAAAAATTAATACTAAATATTTTATTAAAAGAATATTTATATTTGCAAATTTTATATAAAATTTGCAGATATATATAACGCAAAGAAAATCGAATTATTCGACATTTTTTACAAGGATTTATAATTGAATGAGTCCAATAGCTCTGTTAATTTCGGTGAGTTAATACAATATTCAAGCTTTTATGAAAGTTGTTAACAATTTAAAGGTTGAAATTTACCCTTGAGATCTTTGTTCGCGATCACCATGTCATAACAGTACTTTTTTAAATTCTCCAATTTTTTGAGGTATTCAAATATTAAGTAGAAACATCCACGTATAGGTCTTTTGGGTATTTAGACTAAAACGAGGTCAAGAGAAACATTTTCATGACTCAGAACTCAGGTGGACCAAGCAGTGCGTTATCATTATCACCGTTTCGATTACATGAAATATACCATGCTTGGCATTGACAACGCGTACCACCTCCACGTGGCGGAAAGAATAGTTACTGTTCCCCACCTCGATCAACCTGTAATATTCCATACATCGAAATGCTTGTCTTTCGCTGCAAACAGCGTCGACAATAATTTAACGACAGTAATTTAACGTTCAATCTTCTTTCCTATATATTTTATTGGTAACAACTATAAAGACCAGCGCTATTTAGTCGCTATGCTATTAAGTCTGTGATTTCACTGCTATATCTTTAATTAAATCTGTAGTTGAATCTTTAATCGAAAAACCACTGTTTTAGTATTAAAATAACTATATTGAGTAGGATTTAAATTAGATTAAATTCGATAGATACTATTTGACAGTGTAAGGCCACATAGGATTATTGATTGTGAGCTTATAAAGTAAAACGAGTTTACAAAGAGTTCGCGAATCGTATTATACTTATTGTATTAACCGCATAGAAATTGCTTTTTACAAAACAATAGGAAATATTTGGTAAAGTAGATTGATTCAAACACACCCAGAGATGCTTTTTTCTCTAGACGCTAGAAAATTCGGCGGTAGTTTAAAGCAGCATACTCGTGTTTAGAGAATAAACTCTACAAGGCAATATCATATATATTTTCCGACGAGAGCAACGCGACTATGCCTTCTGAGAAGCGATTATTTTATTTTCTTTTAACACGTAGAACATAAAACTTTTATAGTGATTAATGCGCGCACTTCATATTGCTAATCGTCGTAAACCGCTTTGTCGTTAGCGTAGATTGAAGCAGCACAATAAAAACGGCGCGTTTTAACAGCTTTTATTGGGAAATTTCTGGTACGGATGGAGAACGTTTGGTGGCCTTTTTTCCTCTGTAGGAAAAATGACGTAGGAAACAAATGTTGAAAATCCGACGTTTAGACACGTCGATATGTCCAATACAATGGTATCGATCACGTAACAGTATTATGCATTCGTGTTTATTTGCGTCACGTGTGAATTGGACTAACTGATCTTCGATTTTCAATTTAATAGTTCATCTTCGAGATGAAATTTGAATAAACATGCATTTTCACGTATCATATAACAGTTAACAAAAATATTTAATATCATTATTGTTCTTCTTTTTTCTCCTTTTTATTATTAATTACTTTTATTAATATATTATTATAGGTGTATGCAGAAGTTTTTATCTTTTTTTTTTTTCAATGTCGGGTTTCCGGTATAATTTTTGTAAATTTAATAATTTATCGACTTTTTACATCGACTTTGTACAACTGATATTGAATTACCCAAACCGCCATATTTTATAATTTAATGTTCATACAAAATAGTCATTTAACTTCTAATTGTTTCTTATAGATTTATATAACAATTCTATAATTTTCTCATAAATCCTGATTCTGATATCTGTAATTTTCTATTTCAACGTTAATACCTAATTTGAAGAGGACCAGAATTTGTGGTCGAAATTAATAATGTAATGTAATGTAATATAATGTAATATATCTCCGTCATTTAATGTTGTATTATAAGTTAGTTTTAAGTTTTGTCACAATAGCTAAAATTTAAAATATATGACTTAATTGTTGTTTAGAATATCAATCTTAATTATTTGACTCTTACAATGCCATTTCTATGTTTATTATTTTGTATAAAAAAAGAGTCCTTTTGTTTTTCTTAATTTTGTTTATAATTTAATGATACAAATCTTACAAAATAAACAGTGAATCCGGCGATGAGCGACGAAGCTTTACATTTGATATTCATATTACATTCAGTATGAGTTTCAGCAAGGAAAAACGCTGTTAAAGCACGCGAATTAATTTTCTCTGTTCTTAACGAAGGTACTGTGTCTTACAATACAACTGCAGTAATTTTGAAGGCATCCTTGTATGCATCTGAAATACAAACGATGTGCTTCATTAAAAGCCTTCAAATGAAACCGTTAATGCCAAACTATTACGCCATGTATTGTGTCAATTAAATGATTTGGCTGAAAAGAAAATAGGAAAAAGTATTGAAAAAAAATACGAAAACTTCTGCATACATCTAACATTTTATCAGTCGTCTAATATAACTTTACGATAGGATAGCCAAAAAATGGCTGGGATATACAGTCACGAATATTCACGAGGTCAATCGGTGGGTTATCAGCTGTATAACAGCGTTGCAGGCCTATCGTCTGTGAAGTGATGACTTTTAGCTAGTCGTGCGGTATATATGCTATGTCGGTGATTAGCGGATTAGCGGGCAGCACGTATATACGCCCACGCGCGGACGTCGCGATGGATCACGTGAATCGCCGCAAGAGTCTTCAAGATCGTCGATAATGATGTCCAAACGATAGCCTTGATAGCCTTCGACATCGTTAAATAAAACAGCGCGCGGACGGTGATTAAGCCCGGCGCGGCCGAGCAGGCTGCGTGGCGACGAGCGATTATTATCGTTACGTGAAAATGTTCACACAATGGCGCAGCTTACTCAAACCGGCACTAGATTTACTCGGCGAAAGACGAAGAGACAACGTCCGGAAAGTACTAATTTTTCACGCAAATCACACTAATAGGGAGAAATTACTGTTTGTAATAAAAATATAATAATTATGAAAATAATAAAAGCTTTACGTTTCTTGATATATTGTGAAAATGTAAAGGGAAGAACTTAAAATATCCAAATAAATAAATAAAATGAAGTAAATTTAAATTGAATTACAGACTCTTTAAAGTTTAAGAAAACATCAAAATTAATCAAGTATAAATGGCTATATAATTATATAGCCATTTATACTTGATTAATTTTGATGTTCTTTTAAAATATTATCATTACAGTTGTTTTAAAGAGGTATCTCTTTTTCTTTTTTTTTTTAGAGAAAGATGCTTTTTTAAGCTTAAGATGCTGTTTAAAGCTTAAGTTTCACGCCTTAAATCTTATTACAGACGTCACAACGAGATGCCTTGTGTCCTGAATTTGAATTGTTCTCTAAGTTGATTTTGTATTAGAATTAAATACCAAATATGTACGTACCTTTCCTGTCTTCCTCAAGAAAAGAAGATTATTGATTTCTTTGTGTGTGAAGGTAATGAAGGCGATTTACCGATTAGCGATACCACCTGGTCTATTGACACTAATTAACTGTTTTTGTTTTTACTATCGCACTATAAAAGTTCTTCCTCCTACTCGATTGTGAAATTTAATTTTTCGCCTCGCATTGATTTCGTCATTACTATCATTAGCGTTTCGTCAGTGGCTACATGTACTCCGTCCGTTACTCAGCCGCCCTATTTTGCCGTCTATCGCTGGCTGGGACGTTCAATAATATGTTTGCATAACACAACGAGCACATAGGAAACAAAGAAGGCAAGAAGGAAAAACAACGCTGCAAGGGGGGAAGACCGACTATCATGTCGTATCACGTGGAGTACGCTTGCGAGACACGCGATAACGCCGAGTAATTAAATTATTTTCATTATTTCCTTAAATGGACCGTTAAGCTGGGCGAAACAGAGAGATGTAAGATATTTTCATAAAATCTCCGCCTTCGCGATCTCCGATGTATTTCTAAATAGCTTGTGTTATAATAATGAGAAAGATCTGAGATCATCGTCGTCGAAAAAATTTGCGCGGAGCTGATATACGTCAGTATATCAGTCGGTATTCCAGTCAGAACTAGTATGCGAAATCTTTTGTTTGCCGCTACATTTCCAAACATCTCTATCCTCAGCAAATAAATGCGATTCAATATTTGAAAAATCTTTCCTTCGCAGTTATTGGATAATAACTCGATCAATTTGAAATTTCCCTATTTTTCAAATCATTTGTATCGAATTTGATGAAACTTCTTAATAAAAACGGATTGTCGTAAATATATTGCTACGGTTTCTTGATTGCATTTATAACGCTTTAACGTGACGTTCGTAATTTGAGGCGGCATGGCGTTTTTTTTTTTTTTTTTTTTTTTTTTCAACACAATTCTGACCCCTCAAATTAAAATCGATCGAGGTCATCGCTGTTGTTTCCTGATCTCGCTAGACGATTAAAGAGACTGTCGGTGAATTGATATACGTTTTATCGTGACGCGGTTAAGCAACCTCGGCGATGTATACGAGCGCGAGATTTTTCTCTTTCGTGCGATAAAACAATGCGCGACGATCTCCCAATCCGGACGCATGTATATACGGATAAAAGAGAGCCGCCGTCGCTTTCCCTGACCTCTCTTAATTAATGCGTCCGTAAAGCGGCGATATCCGTCCGGAGAAATAACAAACTGACGACCAGGCCGCGCAGTTGATTGTGTCTATCGTAGAAGTATTAAACCGCGTTATCGCCCGTCAGCGATTGCTCATTTGCGTCAGGAGGCGAGTGATCTTTCTTAACGCGGCCTGTTTTCACGCGAGCAATCGGAAAGAAAGGCGGCGACGTCGCTGCAACATAACAGAATTCCGCGGGATAACCAGCGAATTCAATTAAGGGAGGACCGGTAATGCCTACGAATTTATAACAATAGAATAGTAAGCCTTAAAGCTTGAGGAATTAGCCAATCGTCGATTATTCTACTCACGCATTCGACTGTGATTAATTTCTTAAGGCTTATATACACTTGTTATGTTTGCGAGGTAAGTCCTGAAAAACACAAAGATGCAGTAAGCTTTAAGCTTAATGTGAGATATTGGCATATTACAGTCGAATATGAAGAGATTAATCGACTGCTTTATGTCTCCCTTACGGCTTATTACGTCTACTGCGTTTTGGGACTAAACGAAACTGGACTTTATGTACTTTCGATCTCTAGCGTTTGATATTTACTATTTCTGTATACTATTTATTATTATCAGGATAATTTCTTATGTGGCGATATCACTTCCGTTGAATTTATGTCTCTTGAACTTCTCGGTCGATATATGTTTTAAATATATTATACAGCCAGAAGCTTTTAAAAACATATTTTTTCTGTTTTTTTTCTTTTTACAAAATATAGTTTCTGTGAAGTTCTTTTGTTTAAATTTTTATCAGAACACAATGTGATTAATAGTAATTCAACTTGATATAAATTATGCAGGATAATTCTTAATTAAGGAAATAATAGATCAATAATACGCGCTGGTTAAGAATAAAAAACAAATAAGTTGTAAGTAGTTCAAAGCATTCATATTAATGTATTTGTTAATGTATTAATTTATTATTATTATTAATGACATGATAATAAATGTATTATGTGTGATTTTATACATATATACATATATACATGTATATATATATATATATAAACGCATGATATAAATATTAACTACTTTGTTAAAACCATTGTTGCGACCATTATTTTTTTTAATTCTTAGACTGCGTACCAATTCTTTGCGGGATAAATCCTGGGAAAAAAATGATACACAGAATTAATTCGTTCAATTTTTATTTTATGAATTATAAGTAAAAAGAATCAAAATGTACGCAATAATCATGATTTTACACATAATTATTGCTAGACATTCTAAATGTATAACCATATATTTAATAATAATAATTATTATTAATAATTAATATATAATATTAATAATAATAATAATTATTATTATTATTAATAACTATATATACATGCATATGCATGGCGATATGGCTGCACGACATTATTTATTTATACACGTGGAGCACCTAAAAATACAATTGTATTCATTGACAGGTTTGCCAAGATTTTTCGTCGCATTCTGACTGTTTGACACGATGATTGCATTGTATAATATAATACTAGTATGTTTGTGACTCAAATTAATCCTCTTGAAATAGCGACAGAAATGCATCATGAATACGAATGATTGTGTGGAGAAACGTGACGAGATATTCCCCAATCTCAATCTCTCTCTCTCTATCTCTCTTTGTTTTCAGGTTGTAGCGGTTCACGTTGATGCCGGCATCTTTGACTCGTACTACAACGGATGCTGCAATGGAACCTTCTGGCCTCTTTTCCATTCCATGCCGGATCGAGCGACCTTCATCGCTGAACACTGGCGCGCGTATTCTGCGGTCAACGAACAATTCGCTGCAAAGACAGTACGATTCTATACTCGTGGCGATTATCAATTGCAGTTTTTGAAGTTTGAGAACACCTTTTACTACCTTTTAACACACTCATTGTCTTGTTAATTCCCTCAACGTCATTATGTCTAGCGATTCACTTTTAATTCAATATTTCCATTTCAGTAAAGTAAAAAATGAACGTAATGATCACGTTATTATGTAATAATAATATTTACTGTCTTCATACTGCAAAAGAATTACAATAATTATGAGTTAAGTGCTATTATAAAGAAACACTAGATTCTCAGTATCCTCGAAACACGATCGTAATAATTAAACGATTTTATATCAGTCCTCCCGAGCGTACGATTCTGTCTGTCGCAGGTTGGTGCATTGGAACAAATTCATAAGGAACAAGAGAACCAGCAGAATGGTACGCCGTTGGTATGGGTCCACGATTATCACTTGATGTTGGCCGCTAATTGGATCAGACAGGCGGCCGAGGAGAGAAATCTCAGGCTTAAATTAGGTTTCTTCCTTCACATACCCTTCCCTCCGTGGGACATCTTCCGGTTGTTCCCGTGGGCCGATGAAATCCTGCAGGGCATGCTGGGTGAGTGATATCGCGATCGATTGAATAATTTCTCTCGAGAATCAATTTCTAACAGGAGATTCTCTTTCTGGCGATGTTTAGGATGCGACATGGTGGGTTTCCACATTCAGGATTATTGCTTGAACTTTGTCGATTGCTGCCAGAGGTGTCTCGGTTGCAGAGTGGACCGTAAGAACCTGCTGGTTGAACACGGCGGTAGAACGGTGCGGGTAAGACCGCTGCCGATCGGTATACCGTTCGATAGGTTCGTCTCGTTAGCAGAGACCGCAACGAAAGTCATGCAGTCGAATCAGAAGATCGTCCTCGGTGTCGATCGGCTCGATTACACGAAGGGTCTGGTTCATAGATTAAAAGCCTTCGAGATGCTGTTGGAGAAACATCCCGAGCATCGCGAACAGGTTATTATCTAATACGCTTACTCGCGCGAGCTCTTGCTTCTCAAAGTAATTGCCGATGATATATCGGAGCTGTTTGAACAGTCATATTCAATCACGTGATGGCGTATGTTAGGTGACGATGCTTCAAATCGCAGTACCTTCACGCACGGACGTCCGCGAGTATCAGGATTTGAAGCTCGAGATGGATCAACTGATCGGCTGCATAAACGGTCGCTTCACGACACCCAATTGGTCGCCCATACGTTACATTTACGGCTGCGTGAGTCAGGACGAGCTAGCGGCGTTCTACAGGGATGCCGCCGTCGCTCTCGTCACACCGCTCCGGGACGGCATGAATTTAGTTGCCAAGGAATTCGTTGCTTGTCAAATCAACACCCCGCCGGGTGTGCTGATAGTGTCGCCTTTCGCTGGAGCTGGTGAAATGATGCACGAAGCTTTGATTTGCAACCCTTACGAGATCGACGAGGCTGCGGAGGTGATTCATAGGTACGTACGACTGTCCGTTTTAATAATGAAACACAATGAGAACCGTCGGAGTAAAATAAATTGTGTACTGGTGAATCAAAGTTTCATTATTTTTCCGTATCATATTGTACTCTAGTTTTAATTAAGACGCACCCCTTGATTTCTATCATACAATAAAGTAAAACCTGATTTAAAGATTTGTACACTTGATTTTAACAGGGCCCTCACCATGCCCGAAGACGAACGCACATTAAGAATGAACCACTTACGTCGACGTGAAAGGATATACGATGTTAACTACTGGATGAAGTCCTTCCTTCAGGTCATGGGATCCCTCGAGGAGCACGATTCCGTAGGCGCTACTACGATGCAGCCCGTGACTATGGATGATTTCGACGATTATTTGAACAAGTAGGTATCAGATCTGTTAAAAGATGTGCATGACTGGGCCCGACCAGCGCATGCGCATGAACGGGAGATATCCGTAAGGTATAAAAAAATATACATATACATAAATAACGAGTAGACCGCGCGAGATTATTATTATCTCGAGCTAATTAGCGGTTCTCGTGTGAAAATGGCACTTGCAAGAAAAGAGGCTCACTGCATTGATGCCTTAAAGATAGTATTAATGTAAATCAGCTATGCTTCTAAGTACTTTTGAACCGAGCATGAGTTTGGGTACGTCGCAGCGATGTGATGCGGCTATGCTTATGACGTCGTCGCCGATGGCAGTGACGACAATGAATCACGATGCACTTTCTTGCTATGCGAGATGTATTATTGATATCCTAACTACCCTGATTTCCACGACTTGTAAATGGGGTGATTGAGATGGGGTGGGAGAGATTGAGAAATCAAGAAAAACGCTTTTATAAAAGCCGGCGGGCCCGCGCGAGCGAATGTTACCTGACTCATGACGAAAGCCGGATAACGATCCAGTGACAACCACATGTCCCCTAGGTACATCGGAGAAAATCATAAATTGGCGCTTTTGTTGGATTACGATGGTACGTTGGCGCCCATCGCCACACATCCTGACCTGGCGATCTTGCCGCTCGAGACGAAGAACGTCCTGCAAAGGTTGTCCAACATGTCAGATGTTTACATCGCGATTATATCAGGCAGAAACGTGATCAATGTGAAATCGATGGTCGGAATTGAGGGTATCACGTATGCCGGTAATCATGGGCTGGAGATCCTGCATCCGGACGGCAGCAAGTTCGTCCATCCAATGCCTGCCGAGTTGGAGGACAAGGTGGCAAGTTTAATGCAAACGCTTCAGGAACAGGTACGCCAAATTACTATATACAATCGATCGTTGTAATACAAATGTAGATATGAACGTGTTATCGTTTAGAACGTTTCTCATTGATAGAGATGATCATTTAATAAATATTAAATGAATTAAATATTTATAAACAATCAGGCGAAATTATTAAGAAAGCAATAAACACATATTATCTATATTTATCACGATAAAATCAACATATTTACGTTCTCGCGTCTGCTTGGCTGATAGCTCTGCAGGGACGGTGCTTGGGTCGAGAATAAAGGTGCGCTTCTCACGTTCCATTATCGTGAAACTCCGATGGAGGGCCGTCCCAAGATGGTCGATCAAGCCAAGAGACTCATCGAGGGTGCCGGATTCAAGGCCTGTACAGCTCATTGCGCCATAGAAGCAAAACCACCGGTCGAATGGAACAAGGGACGTGCTTCTATCTACATCTTGCGCACGGCATTTGGTCTAGATTGGAGCGAGCGTATTAGAATTATATACGCTGGTGATGATGTTACGGATGAGGACGCGATGAAGGTACAAGAATGATCATTTCTGCTGCTCCTGGTCCGAATGCAAATGTCTAGTTCATTAAGAATAATATTTTGCATTAGTGTATCTATCATCATTGGAATTTAAACTTGTCTATTTTTAGGCATTGAAAGGTATGGCCGCTACTTTCCGCGTGGCATCATCGCACATCATTCGCACGTCCGCGGAGAGACGTTTGCCCAGCACGGATTCGGTTTTGACGATGTTGAAGTGGGTCGAGAGGCATCTCAGCAGGCGCAAGCCCCGCAACAGCATCGATATCCCAGGCATTCCGTCACGATTTCGACGCGGTAGTGGTGGCATCACGATGGAGATGTCTTACACCCCGCCGAAAACACCTCTCGAATCATAGGTGATGCTCAAATGTTCCCTCTTAGCATATCAGGTATATGTGGCGTGATATATATCTATCATAGGATTATAATGTACTCGTAGCGTAAAGTCAGCCAACATAAACGAAGGAGCGAGAGATAACAGAGGAATCGCGAACAGCTAAGAGATGAAAAAAAAAGTTAACGAGGTCCACGCCTAAACTCCATGTTGAATATAGGTACTGAAGAAACTGTCGCGATTAGAAAGTCCAAAGAAACGTAATGATTCTTCCTAAGTAAGAAGTATAATAACAATATTATATAGATTCGCTAACGCGGAGTTTAAGAAGTACGAAGAATCAAATCGTTATGTTACTCTCTAGCTTTTAATGTCGATGTATTTTCTGATACTGGTTAGACCGTAGCCCGAGAAAAATATTGAGCTCGTGTACGAAACACATTGCGATGTTTTCCGTACGACTGAAACCTCTATTTCGGCTTTATACAACAGAAAGATGTATATATTATATATCTATATTTTCGATGTACGTATTCTTCGAATTTATAATTGTATCATGTGGAACACGATACGTATGCTTCTCCACGAAGATATAGCATTTAAATACCTAGTTTTTAGGTCCGCGTCGCTCAGTAAAAGGATAAACATTCGGCAGATAACAATGAATCCCTTATACTACCTTTATTAGTTGCGTTTTACCTCATTAACGATTTCTATCGGTAACACAGCGATGACGAAAAAGAACACTTTTTAGGATATTTATACGATCCTGGTAGGAATTGACTGTCGGCGAAGTACTGGTCCAGTATCAATTTTTACATATCAGATACCAAAGGAGTATTGAGATGATCGCAATAAGGATAAAACTTGTAACGCAGTACTATTGTAGCACAGACTTACTGCACTACTTACATAAATACAGACGTGACACTGCAAATATACTGACGGTGTATTGTCTCAATACTGAGACAATTAGCTGACACATTGGTGTTAGATAATTTCAGTATAGACACAATGTACTGGATGAGTATTATTATTCAATGTTGATCCACACCCACACACATTGGGTTCAGTGTCATATCATTGTTTTTTAAAAATAGGTTCAGTACTGAAAACTCATTTTTGGTACTGGATTAGTACTTCGCCAAGATTCAATAGTGGTCCCACTTAGGCAAGTATGTGTTTCTTTACAAATGTTTTGATTAATTTATTTGTTTTTTCTTCCTTTTTTTCCTCCTTATTTTATCAGTAACGATCAATTGTACACACACATTACAAATGAAATATTAATCGTTAAATTTTTGGATAAAATTCCTTTTTCATGTCATATAATTTACGACAAAATTGATACCATCATACAGTTATAATACAATGTACGCACCTTCAGGAATAAAAGTTATGCGCTCTGTTAATCTATAGTGAATGCGTAAAACTGTAGAAACGTATGATTTCGTGCGAGAGACAAAGAAAAAAAAGCAAAATCTAAAAAAAAAAAGGTAAAGTAGATTTAAACTAGATTTTACACTTTTTGTAAGTAGAATAAGATATTAATGTATGTAAAACAAAAGAGGCGAGAGAAGATTACTGGTATTTATGCTGGTATAATTGCTTTGGTTGTGCGAGTGATAATAAGTAAGAAACGGCTACATTAGGATCTATGCCTTTTAACTATATCTATTTAAAAGATATTTGTCATTGCGCATTTTTCTCCGTGCTGTCGGATAATACTGACTGATACAAACTTATACTGGTACAAACTGGCAACGCGTATCCGTCTCTTGTCACACGAGCTTGTTTTGAATTGAGAAACTTTCCGAAAGAATAACTCGGTAGGCGTCATTTATTGCACAAAACGCAATTCAATAAGTCACAATGGAGAGGCAGGCGTCTTTGAAATGTGACGAAATTTAGCAATTTTCACAAATTATAATTAAGCAACGATAGAGACAGATTGGTTCTGGGGTGAAATTGTATAAACGAATATATTTATTAAAAATTCCCTCTTACGAAAGAGGATTACTTCGGATTGATGACATTTTTATATTCTTACCGTATAGCTTTGTTTAAAAAAACGGGCTTTTGAATTCGTTTCCATAAAGTGTAACGTCACGTTTTATTCTACAATTGCTTTCCTTTGTATAGTTTTCCTGTATTTTTATTTCTTTAATCCGCTTAGCGTCCGGAACGTTTTTTCCATCCGCAACATGAACCGTTTATAAGCTAAATTGAAATTAGTCTGCTGATTAATATCTATGTTAATTATTATTGGTTGCTCGTAGAGCAAAAGAGTTTAGCGGTCAAAAGATCAAACGTTGCGTAACACCTAATGAGAGCGATTAGCAATTAAGTATATATACATGTATCGACCATATCGGTATCTCGGAGGCTTTGACGCGAACGCAGGTCAGATTTTATATAATCGTACTTTCGCCGCTGTATTTATTAGTCAATTATAATAATCGTCGGTCATTGGATAATAAACGAGACAATTGACGATTAGGCAGAAGAAGACGAAACAAAAAACGGCAATCAATAATATAAGGAAAATGTAAGCACGAAGCGAAATATAAAGTACTGTTACATCGAGGATACACCTATCGGAATGCACAACGTCATCTCTGTTCAAAAATGTGTAGAAAAGAAAAAGTATATGTATATATAATGAGAGATATATATATATATATATATGTATAGATACACGCGACGCGCGTACAGAGTCCTATCACGTTAAAATAAAGATCTCTATCTTTTCCCCGACTTCTTTACTAAAAAAAAAAAAAAAAA